GAGAGCCTGGGAAAGAGTGTTCTAGACAGAGGACTGAGCCAGGACAGAGGCTATCTGAGCTCAGAGGGACAAAGACTTACGTAGCCAAGGGAGTGGAGAATGGCTGGAGGAGGCAGAGAGGCTAAAAAGATAGGCTGTTTTGATTAGGGTTTCTATTGCTGTGATAAATGCCATGACCAAAAGCAACTTGGAGAGGAAATAGAGGGAAGTCAAGGCAGGAACTAATGGCAGGAACCTAGAGGCAGAGCCTGATGCAGAGGCCATGGAAGCATGCTGCTGACTGGCTTTCTCCCTGTGGCTTGTTCAGCCTGCTTTATTACAACACCCAGGACCATCAATCAGACCAGGAATAGAACTGCCCATATCAATCATGAATCAAGAAAATGCACCATAGGCTTGTCCACAGGCCAATCTGGTGGGGGCATCTTCTCAATCGAGGGTCCCTCTTTCCAAATGAGTCTATTGTGTGTCAAGTTGACATAAAACTATCCAACACATGTATCTTTAGTCCAAGAAGCAAAACTGAGAGTTGTACCCTCGACTATATTCTGATTACGTGACCCTATTTTGGTCCCAGCTCTGAGGGACAAGGGCAAAGACTGGGTTGCAGGGTAATGCTCTGAATCAGTCCCCAACCCTGCTCTTCTTAGCAGTGGCCCTATTGCAGGCCTTAGAACCTCTCCAGGCTGTTTATTCATTGACTGGATAGACAGGAGAACTAAAAAAACACAGTAAGGCTCAGAATCTCAGCTGTAACCATTCCCTTCCTTTTTTCCTTTGCCATTTTAATTATTACTTAATTATGTATTGGAGTGTGGCTTGGTGTGCCACAGTATGTACCTAGATGTCAAAGGACAACTTTGGGGAGTCATGACTTTCTTTTTCTGCCATGCGGGTCCTGTGGCTCATACTAAGGTAGTCAGGTTTGGGTGCCATCATCGTCAGGTTTGGGTGCCATCATCTTCTCCTGATGAGCCACTGTTTTAGATCTTCTTCGTCCTTCCAATTACAAGATAACAAGAACTACTCAAGTTATACCAAGAAAAGGGGAAGGGGAGGTCTCTCAGTGATTTCATGGCAGTGGGGTGGATACACACAGGTTGTTCTGATGTCAGGTCCATATGACTTTGCTCTTGGAGGCTCGGGTCTCCTTCACGACCTTCCTACAACCAACCATTGGCTTTGTTCACTACATCTCACCCTCATAACTTCAGTCTCCTGTTGTTCATAAGTACCACCTCTCTCCACATCTAACCTCATCAGTGTGGCCTTTTTGTCTTTTGCTCCTCCCACTAACCACACAACATTTTGTAACTTATGCTCAAACTTCCTGAAAAAAAAAAAAAGTCATCTATTGGCCCAACTCACTAAGGGCCAGAGTTACTACTATTAACCACACTTCCTGTTGGGTCAGTGGCCATCTATGCCTCAGTCCACTGGAGCAAGGAGATAAAGTTGGTACCAACAGTGTTTTCTAAAGTCATCGAGCATCAGGCTACTTCCTTCAACAAGCACGGTGGACAGAGCAGGGATGAAGAACAGTCCCTCTATGATTCTGCAGACTCTGACCATACGGCAAGTAGGCACTCAGAGCAGGAAGATATAAAATCAGCTTCCCTAGCCCCCTCTCTTAGAGATAAGGAGACAGCTAGCCTGTGAGAGAGACTTCTTCCGGTTAGTGGCCAGTGAATGGTGGAATTTGAACTAAAGCTTTTCCCTTGAAGCAAGTTTGATGCAAGCAGTCATTAGAAGCCCAAAAGCTTGCTCTTCCTTTCCACAAAGCACAGAGATGAAGCAAGTGACAGTGTCACCAGGGCCTGTGGCCGCAGGACTTGGGTGGTCTATATGTGTGTTACAGGTCTTCCTTTCAAAACTACTGTGTTAAGACACAGCCTCTTCTTAGCCTCATGTATCCTAACAAAGGGAGGCTCCTTGGGTTGTGACACTTGCCAAGGTCATTTATTGATGTCAATCAAAGCTGAGATCTGCATTCAGGTCTGGGTGACCTCAGAACCTTTGCATATACACTCATGATGGAAGCTTGTCAAATCTGAATGCAGGAGCTATAGAAGACTGGAGTGGGAATGCTTGGTGTGTGTGGAAGAGTGGTGAGGGGTGGGGAGCAAGGCTTTGTCAGGATAACCAGAGGCCTCTTTTCTCCCTGTTCCAGTTAGTTTTTTGTTTGTTTGTTTTGGTCAACGTTTGTCAGCATTTGCTGTTCTTTGGGAAGAGGGAAGTCATGAGTTGACCCGTAGGCAAGTCTGTGGGTTATTTTCTTGATTTCTTGATTGATGGTTGTTGTAGGAGGGCCCAGGGCACTGTGGGAGATACGGTCCTAGGTTTTAGAAGAAAAGTAGTTGCGCTAGGCCACTTCCTCCATCTGGACTTGAGACTTGGGTCTGAAACCTCTCCTGTCTTCAGCTTCCCCTCTCTTATATTCAATAACCTACCTAATGCAAACCCATATATATGCTCTGTGGAGAGCTAAAGTGGACAAAAAAGAGAGAGAACAGAAAGTGTTCTTATAATAGTAAAGACCAACATGGTACAAATGCAGAGAATCAATTAGAATTATCCCTAATATCAGAATTTAAAGGAAATTAATAAAGGATCGATCTATTGCCCAGAAGAAGCTGCAGCACACTTAACTCAGTAAGTGATTGTCAGAGTAACCCACCCTCCCAACAAGCGGGCACTTGGTGACCACAGAACCCTGGGAACTATGTCCTACAGCAAGCAGGGTAGCGGAAATGACACTGTGGAGTACTAGCTGTGAGATTCAGTTTCCTCAGTTGTAAAGCAGGGATACAGAATTTACCTCCATGAGTGCTTGTATGGACACAAGGAGGGAAGGCATGTGTGGTGGTTTGAAAGAAAATGGCCCCCAAAGGGAGTGGCACTATTACAAGGTGTGGCTTTGTTGGAGGAGGTGTATCACTGTGGAGGCAAGCTTCAAGGTCTCATATATGCTCAAGCCATATCCAGTGCCGGTCTACTTCCTGTTATCTTTTGATCAAGATGTAGCCAGCACCATGTCTGCCTGCGCACTGTCATGCTCCCCTCCATAATGATAATGGACTGAACCTCTGAAACTGTAAGCCAGCCCCAATTAAATGTTTTCCTTTATAGGAGTTGCCATGATCATGGTGTCTCTTCACAGCAATAAAAACCCTTGCCAAGACAGCATGTGAAGCACTCTGCATAGAACACATGCTTGATGGATGTCATCATTGGTAGATGGAAACGTTAGCATATTTGATTGAGCATTTTGTAATGTATCATTGAGTGGGACTGAAAACCATTGCTGTTTCTTATTACTGTCTCACCTACAGGATAAGGCAGCTCTCAGGATCTCCTATGGGAGGCTATTCTATGTTGGTACAGTCTGAATAGAGGTGACAGTACCCTTGTATCTAGGGGACTGTCTACTCCTGCTTACAGTGGTCTATTCCCACTCTTGAGTTACTTTAGGAGTGGGCCTGTGGCTCAGTTCTAAGGATGGAGAATCAGGCCCAAGATGTTTGTTCTCCTGAGGCTGAAGAGGTGGAGGTAGTAGAAGCTTTTAGCATCACTGAGTAGGCACTATATGAGACAGACTGGGGTGTGCTAATGAAATAGCCCAAGACGCTGCCCATTTCATCCTTGTCTCCTCCCAAACTTGAAGACAGCTCCAGTCTGGGGTGTCTAATGTGGTAGCCAATTCTCTCTTGCTTGAGGTTGCTTGAGTTGGGGAGTTTGTCATTCATAAACCAAAAATTTTTCAGCAGATCTGAGCAGGAAGCAAATATTTCGGCTCCCAAGTGTGTACTTGGCGGCAAAGCAGCCGGACAATTAAATTTTGCCCTTTGTTCAAATTTTGTGTCTCAGAGTTACAGGCACAGTTCTGTGAATTGTTGAGTCCGAATTGATTGGGGTGATTGTTTTGTGCAATTAGGCTGTGAGCAGCTTGAGAGCTGGAGGATAGAAACCGGGTCTCATCCATCTGTGTCCCTGACAGCTAACTTGGGGCCAGGCACATAAAAAGATACTCATCGGATGAAAGGCTTCTGATTTGGGGCTCCTGGATGAGCACGGTTGCTATGACAAGTAAATGGATTGTGGAATGCATATAGACATGTTCCATAGCCAAAGAGTCTGGCTCAGCAAGAGGCCACCATGCAGAGTGGGATATGAGTAGGTATGGTAGGCTCTGGGAATGTGGAAAAGACCCATTCTCTTTGGCACAGAGACAGTTACATGAAGACCCACAGGGACGGGGAGGGATCAGGGGAACCCTCCAGCCAGGGGAGCTTCCAGCCCTGAAGTCTTCCTTGACTGCAGCAGGTGGCTACAAGACACTTTCTAAAGATCCTGGACCCAGTTTGGGGCCGAATACATAGAGAAAGCACAGGGCTTGGTAAACAGATGGTTCAAATCCTTGCTTTCACACTTTCTATGCAAACCTTGGTTAGGCAAGCCAATTAGCCTCCAGGAGCCTCTGCTTTACCTCTTGAAGGATAGAGTCTGATAGTAACTACCTGCAATGGCTGTTTTAAAAATTAGATGAGAAATTTCCGGGTGGGGGGGGAGGCGTAATCTAGTGTTTGGGATAGAAATTAGTGGTTAATGGTACACATATATGTACACATCCATACCTACACCTATCTTAAAGGTCCAAGAGACTACAAATGCTAAAATTTTGCATATGCCTTAATATTAGACATCAGCGCTCTGTAACTCTGGAAATTTGTCCTTAAATTTTTAGGACACTTCTTGAAATGTCAAATAGCTCCTGCTACCCCCGGTCTTAGTTTTCCACTGCCTCATCCTGTTTCTAGCTGTGTTCTTAGCTCTCTACATTTGAAGCATTCAGTCCTTCTTGCAACTTTAACTTTCAGCTAAAGCATATTTCAGGGTCGCTGATGGAGGAAACACGCAGACAGAATAGACAGAAGGGTAGAAATGCCACGCTGGGCCCTCTACCCACAATGGTCAAGTTACCCTTGCAAACAACCACAGAGTAGGTTTGAGAAAAAAGTTAAGCTGTTTTATTTCACAGGATAGCTCCACATCAAACCAGCAGGCACCATCAGAATACGCAACAGAGGATCCAATCAGACACTCTATAGGACGGGCATTTGGTCATAAGGTAGAGAAATGATACCCAGAAGAGGGCAACACAGCATCACATGGGGACAGGCAACCAGCAATTTCTTAGGGTGGTTTCAGTTTGTTTTTCCTGTCACAATTTGAGGGGAGAATAAAAGCAAAGAAAACAAAATAGACCAGCCACTCTGAAGCAATCAGAAGCAAACCTATTGCCAAACCATGTAAACAGTCACACTGCCTGGAATGAGGGCCTGGGCAGCAGAGCTAGCCTCAACCCCCTTCCATCTAGGGAAGGAAAGTGCACTCTGGCAGTTCCACTTCAAGGAACAGCTTTGATTTGCCTGGGACAGTTTGCACAGAAAGGAGGTGTCAGCAAAGGGCAGCAATGGCCCTTTGGCCAGTCCCAGATGATGGGACAATAGAATGCTGGCAGATCAACCTCAGAGAGGCCAGGAGGTCTCAGACTGACAGTGAAGTCCTTCTGGCAGTTTCCCTGGGCAGCTTTGAGTATGTGGAAGTCTCCACTTGCAATTCAGCTCAGTGGAGAAGAGACCCCAGAGAACCAGGGAAGTTGACCTGCACTGTCCGCATTAGCATAGCAAAAAATCAGCTAAGCAATGTCTCAGCTCACCCCTTCCTGCCTTTCCTCCATCACTCCTTTCCCTTCCAGCCCAGCAGGACTCATTACCACAGCTAGAAGCACCAGCCCCCTCCACCCCTTTCTGGGTTTCTCAAGAGAATGAGGCCTTCGCTCTAGTGTGGAGCCATCTGGAAGATGAGAATTTGGAAATAGAGAGGCTTAAGAGGGAGGCCATTGTGTGAGTCCTCAGGGTTTTCCATCAATTGTTTCAAATGTATGTGCACTGGCCACTCAACGATGACCAGGTACCAGGTCACGAGATGTCCTCTGCATCCATGACTCCTGAATAAGAAAGGAATGCACCCAACAAGGCACTCCAGGAGATGCCAACGAAGGGAGCCCCATGTACAGGTTTCTCTCCCACCAGCTCCCCACCTTGTGTACCACAAATGTTTTAAGTGTTTATAAGGCAGATCTCTGAACTGCTGGTTCCAGCCAGTAGCCAATGGACGGCTCCATTTCCCTGTGTCTCTTCCCACTCCGATTTGATTTCTTCACTGGATATAAACCTTTCTGTTCCTTAGGAATCCATTTCCCTCCTGACCCCTGGTTTAGTGACTTCAGAGAAAAGACTCTCTAGTCTTAACTCCCAAGCCCACAATTCCCTCCAGTTGTGTGCTCTGTCCGGCGGGGTTCAAAAGGCGCTTCAAGGTGAAAAGTTAGCACTGAAAACAAGGAAAGGTGACATTTGTTCACAGGATCCCACAGCTCAGAGCAGCTCGATGAGGAAAAGAGAAGGGAGGGCAGGGAGGGCGAGTGGGGTCGGAAGCTCAGCTTGTTCTCAAATTGATCGGAGAAAGGTCTTTAGTGGCAGCTGGGCCACACAGTGCCCAGGAAACTAGACCAGGAATTAATTGTCTTTGGTCAGTTTTAATTAAATGAACATCTTGCTGGTTCATTCCTAAAACAGACTGAACACCGGTTATACATAAAGACAAAAGGCTTGACCTCGGATGAGTTGGAAGTTAAGAAATCATTCTGTGAAGCCAAAATAATTTTTTTAAATGCCCGTTATCAACTAACTGATCAGCACAGCTTTCAATAATGGTGATGAACATTGATAGACACCACTTCCCCTCGTACGCTTGGCTATATTGAGGGCTACTAACTATGTCACTACACCCCCCACCCCAATCACTGTACAATTAGGTTTCTGGTATTTGTTTTTACATTGATCTATCTACTAGGTGCAAAGATTTGGTGAGTGGCATTGGCTATAATGCAATTGTAGCCTTCTTTTAAAAAATTACAGTTTCACATTTTAACAGTTACTTTCCAGCATTTAACAAATACAGCAATATATAGTGGACTAAAAACAGGCAGGAGTTGGAAGGGAGATGCTCACACTCGATAGACACGGATGGGACTGAGTTGGGGCCTGGGGGTGGCTGAGACATGCAGGGGACCAGATGAAGTGTGTGTCGGGGATGGGGGTGGACAGTGTTTTTCCATTTGTTCTGCATCGAAGCTCAGGTTGGGGGTTGGAGGAGTTGGGGACTCGTCTGCCATCTGTGCGTGCGCTTCCCTAAATGTGAACTCATCAGCCACTTGCCGATGGGGGGAAAATAGATGCTTAAGGAAAACAGCTGAGGCTCTGCTCTTGGGACATTTGGGGAGAAGCAGCAAGGAAAAATGAAATAAGTCAACCCAGAGACGAATCTGCACAGCATAACTGGCATTAGGTGTGTCAGGTAATAGATTTGTAAACTCAATTTTGCTTTTATCCAGTATTCAGGCAGCCAATGTTGCATTTTGCCTGGGAGGTAAATGGACTTAAAAATCTGGGGATAGCCCTGGGATACAAAAGAGACATCTTATCTCCTGGGTGCATAGCAGAGATAGCAGACACTTGGAAATGAGGGCTTCCAGAACCTGACCTGATGAAGCCCACTAAGCCATCTGACATATCTTGCACAGGTTCCAGCCCACCCCCAGGCCTTACTCTCTTCAACTATAAAATGGAGAGTTCTTTATGTGCTCAAAGACAGAGGGCCCATTATAGCAATAGTTGAGAGGGAAGGAAGGCTTGGTGGCTTGGCCTCTCCCTGACATTTTCATTTTGTGCCCATTTTTGATTCCATATTCTACCCAGTGCTGACCTTACAGGCAAAGCAGAAAGTGATTCTCCCCACACCCAAGTACCAGTGACACACTAGGTTCCCTCCCTGGGAAAGAGGGCAAATTGCCTTTTAATGGAGGACCCAAGAGATGGTAGAAGCAAGCCCAATGGGAAGAAAAGCCAAGGATGACATTTCAAAGTGTCTGTAGTTTACAGGAGTGCTGTATTCAAGGGTCACACAGATCCTATCTGGTGGGAGCTGTGACTCAAATTCTGGGTTTTGTACTGTAAAACTGAGACAGGCAGAGAGCCATCCAGAAGGGGTCCATGTATATGTGTGTGTGTGTGTGTGTGTGTGTGTGTGTGTGTGTGTGTGTGTGAGAGAGAGAGAGAGAGAGAGAGAGAGAGAGAGAGAGAGAGAGAGAGAGAGAACAGGGAGATCCTTGGTTTGGTATAAGGAGGAAGAGCAGAAATGGTCCCATCAGGATTAGATTTGCCTGTGATGCATTACCAGAAAATCTGGAATTATCTGGAAAATGGAGACAACAAAAGTGCAGGTAAAATGAAACAAAAAAAAGAGCCATGCAGAAGGCTTTTTTGTCCTATTGCAATCACAAACCTTGATTCTACCACCACGTTTTGTCTACATTAACTGCTTTAGAAGAAATGGAGGAAGAGGAGGGAAGGGAGGGAGGGTGGAGAGCACTTCCACTTTCATAAAATCTTGCCCTATGGTGTTTCCTAGCACAACCCTCCTAGGACGGAGGCCAAGGGTTGACTGGGCACCGGAGGCTCTGGTGGGAAGCACAGTGTGCTGTGGCCTAATTTCAAAAGAAATGATGTGATTCAACACCTCCTCGCCCATTTCATTCCAAACCTGACATAGCATAATTAGTAGAAAGAGGAAGAAGAAAAACATGAAATATTGAGAAGTAAACTTCCATAGTCACCACAGATTTATCCCTTCAGTATGTCTAGGGTGTGAAATACTCCATACTACTGTTTGGTTTTTGTGGGTTTTTTGTTGTTCTTTTTTTCCCTAACCACAGGTAATGCTGTGCTAGAATGGAACATAGCATCTCACCACCTGGATTCTGCATACAAACCCAAGGGTCTTCACACCAACCTCCCCTGTGCCTTTTAGGTTGACCTTTGGCCTCCAGATGACAGGGCAGGGTCTCTGGGGGTGTATGGAGGGTTTTCTATGAAGGGTCCCCCCACCTTTAGGAGCAGCCTGCTTGGGGGTACCGCCTGCCCCACCCTTCCTTGAGGGGCAGACTGTTCTGGAAGGCCACAACTTCTGGAGACTGTTTCTGGTTTTGTGTCTCTGCAGTTAGTGGTATATTGCTTCGTTCGCAGTTAACTGTGGGGCCTCTAAGTTCTCCCAGAGAAGTCCCTGCAAATCCCACCGAGTACAGTGGGAGATGTTTGGTGGCATGGGTCTGAGGTAAATCTAAGTTTCATAAAAAGAAAAAAAGGAGCGTCTATATACAGTTAGCATGTGTGTATGTCCAGCTCTCTAGTATATGTATATAGATGCATAAATATATATACACACACCTACAGACACATACGTACACATATGCGTATATATGCACGTATTTATATACACACACACATATACGTATGTAGAGAATATCGAGAGAATAATTTTCCAGTGACAATATGAGAAGCTGGTAAGCATCTGCCTCAATCTCAGGAAACACTGTCCTTGGGACTGATCTTGTTCCAGCATTCCTTGGCATGTCTATTTGCCCACAAGAGGTCTGTGGCATTCACATGGCTGAGTAGGAGGTGCAGCTAACACCTGGGCCTCTGCTCTCCACAGACATATACCCTCCCAGGCTGACCTTCTAGGATCTGCCCTCCAAGGCCAGAAGATCCCTGGGAAGCAAGTGGAAGCCACCAAGGCCACCCTAGGCCATGGTGTGCAGCAGTGGGCCATGGCGGTATCACCGGTCCTGCAGGTCACATAGTGCCAGACTTGTCCGAGGAGCTATTGGGAAACATCTTCTCGGTAGGTGTCACAGCAGGGCTGCCCACGCCTGAGCTGCTACTGCTGGAGGATCGGTGCTGGACCACGGGTCTGACTGGACGCATTGGGGGTGGACGCAGCTGGGCACCAGCCAAGCGAGCCGACAGGGCAGGCTTGAAAGTGGTCATCATCTCGGTGGATGAGCTGCTGCTGCGGCGCATGGCAGCGTCAGGGTCTCGGATGACAATGGTGTGCAAGGGGCTGGCGGGCTCCGAGCTGATGGGGCCTGGTGGATTCTTCAGGGGCTCCAGGGTGTCCAGCACCACATCTGGCGCCTGCTTGACCGTGTTCTGTCTCTCGAGTTCCCGCAACTCATGCAAAGCTGTGCTCATGGTCTTCTCGATGTCCTGGGAACAGAGAGGGCTCTGGTCAACACAGGGTCTTCAGAGCAGCTAACTAATTCAAGGCCTTTCCAGAGGAAGTTTCCTAGGAGTCCCATTTCCCAGAGGGAGGCCAGACCCCGAGGGTATATTGTAACCAACACCAGGAATCAACATGAGCATCCCCTGTACCTGTCTTGCACAAGAAGTCACCGTCATAAGCGTAGGTCATGCTGTGGCAGGCAGACAGACATTTGTTCAAAAACTGACTCTGCTACTTCCTTGCTATTGAACTGCATGTACCTCTCTGGGCCTGAGAATTCTCACTGGTAAATTGCAGACAATTATAATACTTACCTCAAAGGGTTGATGAGTGCATACAGCGATCATATCTATGCAAAGAGATTGGCATAGCACCTGCCACTCAAAAATGGTAATAATGATCCCCGTAACAATGATACTTAATGCTGAGCACTGATCCAAAGCTTTTAATAACTTATTGGTAAGGTAGGGACAACTATTATACTCATTTCACACATAAGGAAACTGAAACTCAGACTAGTCAAATACCTTGCCCAGGGTCACACAGCTAAATAATAACACAGTCCAACCCAGGTGGTCTAGCTCCAGGGTCTCTGACTAGACATTGTTTTTGATTCTGTTTTCTTAAAAGTCCTTCATTCTAGGGGTAGAGAGATGGGTAGGTGGTTAGAAGCACTGGCTGCCTTTCCAAAGGACCCAGGTTCAATTCCCAGCACACACACAGTGGCTTTACAAAAGGCTGTGCCTCCAGTTCCAGGGATCTGTGCCCCTCGTCTGCCTCTGTTGGCACTGCACACATGTGGTACACATATACATGCAGGCAAAACACCCATACATGAAATCAAATGGAAAAAAATGTCCATCTTAACACATACAGATATTGAGAGACTTCACACCCTATCCTATACAATCGTTTAGCTATATGTCAGTTTTAAAAATTAAAAGAAATCCTTACCCATAGGGAAATGACTACCTACAGACCATATGGAATACATCCTAGATGACAGGAAGACCGCCTTCCTCTCAGCATTATGATCTAAAGGCTCATTTCTTGTTTAAAAAGTGGGGAAAATTAAATGACACATAGGACATCATCATATCTGCAGGCTCATCAGAAAGAAAATGCCTCAGGTGACAGATGTGAGGCACACCAGGCCAGCCTGAGCTCCTTGTATACCCAGTCCAGGGCAGGGCTGGGCCTGGAAGGCAGCACTGATCTGGCAGCTGGGCTAGCACCAGCCACTCTGAGCTGCACTGCACCCATCTGTCGAAAGCCCACATTTGCCGTGAAGATGTGGCAAGAGGATGGACACGAAGCTCTGCAAACTGCCAGACAGTGGTCATCCAACTCCTCAGAGCACAAGAGACCTGATTCATGGGGATTTCAAGGGGCCACCTCCATGTCCAGTGGGTGTAAGAGTGGCTGCTCAGGCTGATCTGACCCAGAACCCATACAGGGCACAACAAGGGACCTGGCTTAAAACCTTCACTTGCAGGCACCATGCCCAATCTAAGCAATGGTGGCTACTAGGGGATGCTTGCTCTTCAACAGACTGGGGCCAGTACTGGAAGAAATGCTTGGCTCTGGGGGGGGGGCAGATGGGGCTGGAGCCTGGAGCTACTGTAGAGTCCTCTATCCATCCAGAGTCTTCATCCTCTCCTTCCTGGATCTGCAGGAAGACTCCAGTATGCCCAGGGCATGTCCCTAAGCCGCCTCTTGCTCACCCCACTATCCCAGTCTATCCCATTTGCCTTCTGTGTCCTGCTAATGACTAATATCAGCTTTTATGCTCCCCTACCATGTTAAACCCTTTACCCACCATGCTGGCAGCTTTAAGAAGGGGCCTTCAGGAGAGCCTTTATCCAGAGGCTCAGTTATGGGTGACTCTGCAGGAAGGGCTCTTCTGCCTACTGTATACACACAGGGTCACCAAAGCCTCCACCACCGTTCTGAGACTTATCTCCTATTGCACCCCACCCACCCATTTGCTCTCATCCAATGGGAGCTGAAGGCAAAAATGTCAATAAGTAAAATGTAATGTTCTCATCTCCCCTATCCCCGTAGAGCGTGAATGGGAAAGACAGAAAGCTCAGAGAAAGGTGGGCTGAGGAGTTTAGGCTGCAGCCTTGCATTAGTCTGATGAGGGATGCGTAAGTCTGCCAGGTGAAGCTGCAGGGAGGCTCTGGGGACTGGGGCATGGTTGGCAAGTTACTTGGTTTTCACCTCCTCCCCACTTCGTGGGACAGTATCACACAGTTCCAAGACAGCCTCTTTAACCTAGACTTCAAATCTATGTTGTTCAGGAGACCGGAGAATCTAGGGTGACTCCATCTACTATTTGGGGTTCTCCACACCACCTCCCCTTTGACTCCCACAAAGCCAAGGGCTCCTCAGAGATGAAGCTGAGCAAGTAGGTGGCTGTCCCGTGACTTCTTGACTGTTTTCCATGAGCTTCAGCTTTACTTCCATCCAGGAAACTATCCAGTTTGAGTGCGTGTATACTGACAACACCCTTAGTGTTGCTAAGTGTATTTCCTGAGTTAGGCTAATAAATGCTCCTCAGATAAAAACCCCAGAAGTCTGGAGATGGGATATACCCTGTTCTTGCTAGAGATCCCCAATGCACAGCAAACTATTTCAAGGTTCTAAAATGTCTGTAAATACGTCTTTCTACTTGGTCAGAGTACCACAGCATAAATGATGCTCTAACTCCACTCACTCCACTGACATCTCGTAGTGTCTTGATGCATTAGGCACGGTGCTCTAACTGTGTTTGCTTGTCCATGTAAAGGACCCCAAGCCAGCTTTAGGAAGCCTCTGCTTTGTTGTGATGCAGTCTTTAGAAGACGCTGGGTATGAGGGTGATGGTTCTCAAGAGGATAGCCTTCACAGATGGAAGGCCAGGTTGGCTGTCTCCTCTGCTTGGTCCATGCCAAGGTACTAACCCCAAGGACTCCCTGGAAATGGGCATCAGGATATGATGTAAAGGTCATGTGTGGAGTTCTACTGGCAGTGCATTGCTTCCAGCCAGGGTATTCTCTAAGGATCTTCCCTTGAGTCTTGTAAAGACATGCTCAGAAGTTGATAAGGTCACCTTGTCCCATTCAAAATAGTACTCAAAAAGGCTATCTGCACAACAGATTCCCTCCAACCTGTGGGATCTGCTAGGCCCTGTCCGCTATCATCTCTTAAATGAGAGACAACATTGAGGGAGGTGCACAATGGACCCTTGCCCAAAATGACAGCTAGAGGAATACAAAGGGAAACTTCTGGAAATATGTCAAAAACAGACATGACCAGTGATGCTATGTGGTTTGCAAACAAACTGGTTCTGTTCATCTGGCCAATTGAGGGGGGGGGGGACCATACAAATAGAAAACACTCTGGAAGAGCCTGAGATATCCTTCCATTGTGCTTCAGCTATTTAGTCCTGCCCACCTTGGGTCTTGGGTCAGACCCTCCCAGGGAATTATTTTCAAACTGTAGATTCTCAAAATATGATATTCCATCCCTGCTCATCAAAGACATCCAGCCAAGCGGCCATTTCACAGCTGCCATTCCAAGGTTGGCAGTTCTCCTTAACTATAAGCTCTTGTAGGCAGGGCCAAAATATATCCGGTCTCTACTGCCTCACTGTGCATGGTGAATGTCACACAACAGATGCTCAGGCAAGACTCATCAATAAATGAATAGAGTAATGAATGAAAGATGGATGGAGGCATGCATGGGTGGATACATGGACTCAATCATAGCATCTTGTGTGGAGAGACCTGCCATTGCCTCAGCCCCTTAATTCAGCTACCCCTTTTCTAGCCTGGACACCGTGGGGTCTTCTGGTCTTTATAGGAGCTCTAGCTAGTGGCATGGAAAAGAAGCCAATTCACTGTCTTGTCTGGCTGAGTCTCAAGTTCCACCGAGGCCACTATGATTGCCCACTCAGTAGTTCCCACCCCCTGTCCCACTGGGTGTCTCACTGGCCTAACTGGCTTCTGTGGGGCCCTTACTTCTGCCAGGGCCTCAGCCTCCAGGGACTTGTGGTCCCCTAGGCTGCTGTGCCGGGTGGAGCCGCAAGTCGACCTCATGGAGAGCCCTTCTGCCAGCGCCTTCTTGTCAGGGTAGTTGATGCTGCCAGCGCTCCCGAATGTCGCCATCCTCCTCTTCTCAGGGCTCTCAATCCGTCCCCGGCTGAGGGGGATTTTGTGGGGACTGCTGGGGCAGGCAGCAGCACGGGGTGGTGTGTCTATGCTGGGACCCAAGCCCCGGGGTGGGCTGTGTGTGTCGCCCCCGCTTCGGCGCCTGGGGATGGCCGCTCCGTCAGACCGTAGTCGCACTCTGCAAAGGAGCCAGGGGCAGGGAGCATGGGGCAGAAGTCAACCCTAGCCAGTCTCAGAATGGGCCAGCCAACCCCCATGTCATAGCTACATGCTAATCTAGAGGAGCTAGCACAGTGAAGCCTCATTCAGTCAGACTGTACAATTTGGTGATGAAAGGGCCAGTTCAGCCCTGTGACCCCTTCCCCTGAAGGGGAAAAGTAAACTTGGCTCAGGGAGAAAAGCTGAGAGTGGGAGCCAGGGTGGCTGCACTGCAAACCAAATTCTAAGTCAGGTCCTGGCAGGAAGATTCCAAATTGGAAATGCTGTGGCTAGCTGTGGTCATATATAGTCTGAAATCATTCAGACTCTAGCTGGTTTGAAACATTGAGGCTTGACTGTACCAAAAGGCCACAGTAAGCACAAGAAGGACCCCTGGGAATGAAACACCTGCTCACCATTGTCACCCACCAACCTCCCAAGAGCAGGCAGTCTATGCGGCTTCCCCAGATCTTGGAAAACAGCTCATTGAAGAGTGAACACCCCTGCACCCTGTGTTTATGGTACCTTGTCCACCTGCGGGGCTCTACTTATATAAAAGGGCATGAGCTGCTTATCAGTAGGACAAGTCTTTGACCTATGTCTGCAACAAGCTTTCCTATATTCTCCCAAATCCATTCTGGGAATCCACTACATTGACAGACTATTCCTCCCTCACCTGCCCAAATTTGAATAGTTTGAAAATAAGTTCAAGACTGCTGTGTCCTGTGGAGGTCACCCAAGGTACAGAGGCCTTCACAAGGGGAGGAAAGACTGGATGTGGATGAGGGCAGGAAGGGATGGTGGCTGGGAACAGACCAAGTCCATGGGATTGGTGGCGATTCAAACCCTTGCAAAGCTAAGCAAGCCTGTGGATGCCCCAGCAGGACCAAAGCATAGGTGTTGGGGAGGAAAGAGGCCTTGAGAAAGAAAAGAAAAGGTTGAGAGCGGGAAGAAGGGGAGGGGGAGGCAGAGGAGGAGGAGGAGGAAGAGAGAGGCAGGGGATGATATGGTCCTCCTAGGAGCTGGGTACCATGCCATTCTCATCTATGGACCCAGTCTTTGCCTTCCCCATCCCTGGATTCTATCATCTTCTTGTGTCCAAAGCTGAATTAAGTAGAAGTCACAAAAAGAGGCCTCAGGACCTCAACTAAAATAAATTCTTGAATATGCCCCCATCGTAAGCTGCCACAGGTGCCTCTCGCTCTCTCTGCAAAGACTGGGTTGACCACATGATCCTTCAGGCTACAATGAGGGGATGGGGGACAGACTTTGACATTCTAAGAGGACAAGGAGCTGGGAGTGAAGCAGAGCGAGACTGTTAGCTTTGTCTCTTTTCCTGTTTCCAAGATGACTTGCACAGCTCCTTGCTGGTTTACAGGTCATGTGACACAGCCCAGTCTCAGTGAAGAAACTGGCATATCTGCTCCCTGCAAACAGGTGGGTGGAGTTGGGTATCAACTTTCACAGAAGAAGGTGTGAACTCTCTATTTAAGTGGTGTGTTTCAGGGATGGGAGACTGGGAGCTTTACATTTAAAAAATATTGTGTAACAATAGAAAGCTGGGAGGAGGAGCAGAAGCTGGAGAGAGAAAGCAAAGTACTTGCCAATTTTTCTCTCATGTGTTTGTGTCTCTATTAAATTAAAATTTTAAGACAGTCTTACTATGTAGCATAATCATAGGCTGGCCTATGATTATTTAAAATAAAAAGCTCTGCAATGCCGCATATGTCTTCCTCTGCCTTAATACCCCCCGCTACTCAAAGCTGAGTCCATTCACACCTGGAATCCTTGGGTCATTCCAGCCAGCCCACCCAGATATACTCAGGGTCATGCCTTGCAGAATCAAGGTGCTGTAAGAGTCTCCTCCTCCCCTTCTGCCCTCTTAACTTCTCCCAGTTCATACACAAACAAACAAACAAAGGGGGCACTAGTGGGACAAAAATGAACCCGAATTTCCTACCGGCCCATCACCCCCCCAAAGCCGTAATCAGAGATGTGCTCTGTGGGGGACTGGAGGTCATTCTTGGAGGAGGCCTTGTCATCGAGCAGTGGCCCACTGCTGGCCTCACTGTCAGCCTTTTGGCTCAGGCTGTCGGAGAAGGCATCGTCCCTGGGGAGAAGAGAGACATGAATTAGAGGTGGTCCGTGTCCTCTGGAGGAAGGCCCTGGATGCCCAGAGCTCCTCCAAAGCTATGGCTACCTGTATGTACCAGCAGCCCAGGCTGAACACCTCCCCACCACACACACATGCCTACCACAATGCTCCAATAGGCAGGCTCTCTTGTGGGTGGTTCCCTTGTATTCCACCCCATTCCACTGATTCTTTCTCCTTTTCTATCTGGTTCTCTCTCCTAGACCCTCTCAGTGATGGAGACAGGGTGGAGAAATAGGTGTTGGAGTCTGCAAGCTGAGCACAGGGTGTTGAGTGCTGAGTCTCCTAGCACAGGGTGCTGTATGCTGAGTTCCCTGTGGCTCCATGAGAAGTGGTTCAGAGCCAAGCAAGCAGGGAAGAACTACCTCCATCCATTACCTCCCAATCTGGAGTGCAGGACACTTGGGAGGTGGCCCTCTATTACAGCATCCCCTTTCTCATATGCTTGGCCTTGGCCTTTGCTCAAGCTCAGAACTTTCTTTCCTGCATCACAACATAGGCTTAGGGTTCCCTTCCTGTGGAGTTTAGTTCTGTGGCTCCCTCTAGGACAGGCTAGCTCTGCTGAGTCAATCCAAGCTGGAAGGGAATGAGAGCCCAGAAAAAAAACCTCACACAAAGTACTGACTTCTTAAACTTTCTGACAGGGCCGGATATTTGGGAGGTGTGGCATTTTTAGCTTCTTAAATCATTAAAAATGACACCTGGTTATTGTGCTTCTCCATCTCCTGAGAAGGTCACATCTGCAATGGAGGGCTATGGGCATTAAGGGGGGTGAGCTGGTCACTGGCTACAGGGAAAGCTCAGGATAGTGGAGGGATATAAAAGACTGGGATGGTAGTGACCATGGTGGGTAGAGTGCCCTGGTTGTGACTCATGGGTCTGGATGGTGGTCCTGGAAATAATACTATCTCTGAATAGTCTGAAAGATGAGCAATGTGCATATTCTTCTGTGGATATTTCCACTTAAAGGAAGTTAGAAAAAAAACATTCTTAGAGATCATGAAGATTTGATACTGATCCCAGGAGAACAAATTGCCAGCATACAACCCAGTATTCCCCTTCTACTCCTCATTCCAGACATCACTAATCTATTACCTCATTCTTCACAGAAGGCCCCAGTTCTCACTCACATGTCCTGTACAACTATGTACTGATGAGGGATGAGTCCATCTACACCGTTGTGACGGCCCTCCCACCAGTCCTCTGAGGCACGGTGGTACAGGAGCAATGAGGCCCCTTTTTTGAAGGACAGCTCACGAGGGGACCGCCCCACGTAGTCAAACTTGGCGATGGCCTCAATCTGCTCCACTTCTGTAAGAAAATTAGGAGAAAGAGCATCTGTGAGGTCAGAGAAGTGGCTCAAGGCTCAGGTAGCCTGGTCTTCAGTGAGGACAATGGGCAGGTCTTGATGAGCACATGTGGAATGGGGTTTGGGACCCCAGTACTAGGAGTCTAGGTTCAGACTCCTCCCCACTGCTCGATCTTAGGCAATCCATGTAACTTCTCAGAATGTCCAGTGAGTACCAGGCTCAGTGGTGTAGACCTAGCATCTCAGCGTTCTGGATCCTAAGGCAGGACAATTACAAATCTGTAATTAGCCCAGGCTATAAAGCGATAACCTATCTCATAAAAAATTAAATAAACCAAGAAGTATAAAATGTCCACAGGGAGCTGGCATGCCAGATCCTTGTTTTCCATTGCATGATTATTGAAACCAGTTTGGCAAGATGTGATAATACATACCTATAATCCAAGTACTTGGGAGGTGGAGGCAGGATAACAGGAGTTTGAGGCTAGCCTGAGCTACATAGACCATATATCAAATGTGTATGTGGGGGGGGTATATGAAAAAATTTCTTTCCTTATACACCTCAGCATACATTCTACCCCCACTTTCCCATGAGCCCTTTTCTTTCTTGTCCAGTTACACATAAGTATCACGCACAGCCTGCAGGACTAGATTTCCATCTCTGCTCACTCACAGTACTTTCAGGGGCTCTTCAGCTTCCAAATGGTGAATGGAAATAAGGACATAGCACAGCCAAAACTCATGGCTGCAGCTACTGCTTAGGTGGAAATTTAGAGTTGCAAATGACTATGCTAAGAAAAATCCTAAATCAGTAACCTCCACCTTCATCTTCAAAAAAAAAGGGGGGAGTGCAGGGGCTAGAGAGATGGCTCAGTGGTTAAAAGGAGGCTGCTCTTCCAGAGGACCCAGGCTTGATTCCCAGCACCTATAACTCAGCTCAGATTCCAAAGGATCTAATGCTCTCTTCTGGCCTCCAAGCACACCGCATGCACACAAGCACACATGTACCTCATACACATAAACTAAAAACAAATTTAAACCATAAAAATTTAAAGACATTAGAAGTACAAGCTAAAGCTAAAGCAAGTAGAGAGTGGGGAGTAATGCAGATTAGGTAGAATTAAATGAGATAGAGACTAGGGAAACAGACACAGTCCAAGCTGCTGCTTTCAAAAAGATCAATGAAATTAACAAACATTTGGCTCAATAAACCAAGAAAATAAGAGAGAAAAATCACATTAATAAAATGTAAAATCAGGAATTAAAGGGAAACATTAATGTGATTACTTTGAAGGAAAAGGGGTATCATAAAGAAATATTACCAACAATTACATGTCAACAAATTAGGTAAGTTGGATGAAACGGGCACATTGCTTTAAAATGTAGACTACTGAAACTGACTTGAGAAATAGAATATCTGGGGCCAGTGGGGTGCTCAACAGGACAGGGTGCTTGTCACCAAGCCCAGCAATGTATTCCATCCCTGAGTCCTACATGGCAGAAGGAGGGCACCAACTCCTGCATGTTATCCTCCAACCTTAGATGTGCAAATCACAGTATAAACACCCCCTCCCACAATAAAGAAATACAAAAAACAAAAAGTAGAACGTCTGGGGCCGGTAAGATGGCTCATGGGTAAAAGTGCTTGCTGTACAAGTCTAATGACTTCAGTTCTCTTATTAAACCATGTTGAAAAATAAAAAGCTGGATACAGTGGTCCACATCTGCCATCCAGCACTCTTGTGGTGAGATGGGAAGAAGAGACAAGAGAATCACCCAGAGTCACACAGGCCAGATAGCCTGTAGCATGCAGTGGCAGAAACCCTATCTCAACAAGAAGAAGGAGAAAGTTGTCCTCTGACTTCTGTGTGCATGCCACATCATGCATGTGCCTGCCTGTCATTCATGCACATGTACACATGGTAACAGTACATTTTGTAAAAACAAATAGAAAACCCAAATGAGTCTCCAAGAATGTGAGCCAACCACCAAAGCACTACTCAGAAAGAAATGCCCAGCCCCATAAGGCTTCACTGCTGAGTTCCACCAAACATTTAAACAGTAATAATTATTCACTGAGTCTTCCCAAAAGCACAAGAGGGGGAGACATTTAGCAACACATTTCATGAGGCAAGTATTATCTAACACAAAACCTAGAACATATCACCAGGAAACTGCAGCTTGATATCTTTTACGAATATGGATGATTTTTTTTCTCTACAAAATATTAGCAAATTGGATGGAGGGGAATGTAAAAGGAATTGTTTTCCATACCTGAGAAGAATTTATCCCAGTAATGTAAAATTGGTTTAACATCTAAAAATTCAACAAGTCTTATCAGTAAGATAAAGAGAAAAAATGACATAAACATCTCAACAGATGAAGAAAAGCCTTTGACAAACATTAACATCTTTTCCTAACAAAACACTCCACAAACTAGGAACAGAAGGGCACTTTCTTGACTTGATAAATGAACCTCTGAAACCTCACTGCTGGGTGGGAGAGATGGCTTAGCCTTTAAGAGCTCTTGCTGTACACTCATGAGGACTTGAGTTCAGATCCCAGTATCCACAAGACAAGTCAGACATGGGACACACACTTGAGAACTCAGCTCTGAGATAGGTGAAGACAGAGGTCCCCTGAGGCTTACTTGGCTTCTGGGCCAGCAGAAAATATGTAAGCCCAGGTTCAGGGAATTTTGCCTTAAAGAAATAGTGATGAGAAGGGGAGAAGAAGAGGGATGCTGAGGACATGAGGGAGCAGAAAATATGAGTCAGGGGAAGAATACACGATAACAAGAATGGAGATATCATAATAGAGGGAGACATTTTTGGTTTACAGAGAAATCAGGCACTAGGGAAATGTCTGGAGATCTACAAAGATGACACCAGCTAACTATCTCAGCAACGGAGGAGAGGCTACCTTAAATGCCCTCCCCTGATTATGAGATTGATGACTGTCTTTATCTGCCTTCATCCAGCAGCTGGTGGAAGTAGAAGCAGACACCCATAACTAATCACCGATCTGAACTGGAATCCAGATGCAGAGAAGGACCAGTGAAGAGCACAGAGTCCAGACCACGCTGTGAAACACACAGAAACAGCTGACCTGAACATCCGGGAACTCTTGCTCCCAGTCTGATAGCTGGAATACCACCATGGGACTGATCTATAGAGGAATACCCACTGAGCCAAGACACATGGGGGGTGGGCCTAGGCCCTATCCCAAAGGATATGAAAGACTCTGATGACACCCTATGGAAGGCCTCACCATCCAGGGAGAGCAGAAAAGATATGTGACAGATAAGGTATTAGTGGGGGGGGGTAGGGGAGGACGAGTAGAAGAAGGGAACTGGGATTGTCATGTAAAACAATCCT